TAAAGTTAAAATTGTTTTAACCATGACAGCGTAAGGTATCAGTACAAATCTGTTGTGCGGTGATTGTTACACATTAAAACAATCTGTCATAAACACTAATTTTGTAATTTTCTAGAACAATGGCAACATGTACAATACAAGCCGAGGAGAAGAATTAGAGTTATGGAAAACGTATGTCTATATTCAATATTATAATTAAAAAAAATGTATTTATAGATATATAAGAAATATTTATAATCATTACAGGTAATGCACAGACCCTTCTTCAGACAGTATGGTTGAACAATGGCGTTTACTTCGGAATGCGTGGTAGACAGGACCATACAAAGCTTCTTATGGGAGATATTGAGCTGAAAAGAGCACCAGATAACCGGAAGTACGGGGTATTTACAGGTTTGTTTAATTGTATGATTTGCTTGTAATTATTAGCTTACAGTGAAACCTGCCCTAGCAGTCAGATCTATGAAGCAGCCACCTGTTTTTAATAGCCACAACAAAATGTTTCCAAAGTAATATTTGTCCTTGTTTTCATCTGTAATAAGCAGCCGCCTGTGCTGAGCAGCTAACATTTGTGTCTCCCTTGCCTGTCTGCTTAATACAGTTTTGACTATATTCTATTTTTCAGTATATAAAAAGCTTATCAAAATTAACAGCTATGACACACTTTTACAAGAGTGCAAACTTTCTTGCTAAGGGATGACTAAATGTTAATTCATTTCAAATATTTTCAGAGAGAATAACGAAAACAAGGAACGGATCTAGCCGAAACTGTCACAGAGAAGTTACTTCCAAGGTTTTTGCAACACCCGGTGATGAGTTTTGTCAAGTTGCCATCTACAAGGAATATAGACACCGAAGACCAGCCGATCTGCTAGACAAAAATAGCAGGTTTCACCTTCTGCCAATGAATACTAAATACTAAAAACAAATGTTTGGTGTTCACATAGTCTGTAGGAAAAATAAATTTGGAAAAATAATGAAAGAATAAGCTGAGAAAGGCAAACTAGAAGGCCGAATAGTATATCACTGCAAAAGAAAAACATTTGCCTAAACACTTGTTCAAGCAGGTCGGCCACCTATGGAAATAGCTCATCTAAGAGGTTGAAAAGCCTCTAAACAATAAATGCTTATTCCACCCCTACTTTAAAACAGCAGGCTCAAGCTTTTGACATCCTATCAGACCATATGCGACCATCTTAAAAACGATATCGTTCCACAATGCCACGTTCAAACAATACAACATGAGAATACCTCTGTATTGGCAAATGAAACACCAATAATGCAATACACTTGATGCTAGTCGAAGTGTTTCTTCGAATGTCTCAAAACAACACTCAAATCCGTTTGCAATGTTATGTGGTGCTAATATTTCTGAAGTTACTTTAAACATTAACATTGTGTCAGGGAAGACATAGTTTTCTGGTGTCTGGAGCTCACTTGAAACACAGTAGACAGTCTGACATTTTGTTGTACATGTACAATATAAGTTACAAAATGTAGGTTTTCCAAACAAACTAAAAAAAAAATGTAGTTATTTTTACAGTTGTTCTATTTATGGAAAATAATCAGTGACTGTTATGAATGAATTTTATAAACAGTGAATACGAAGTATCTGTTATTTGAATATTAGTTTTATTAAAAAGTTTTTTTTTTAAACAAACAATTTTTAAATCAATTTAGTATTTCTATTGTTTTATAACGATGATTTAGCAAGATCTTATCTATTATTATAAATCCATTGCTAAGCATTTTTTAAGCACAGAATTTTCTTTTTTTTTAAATCAAAAAAAAAAACAACAAAAAACTAACATTGATTTATCATAATAATTTAACATGTGTTATATAATATATGGCTCGTGAATGCAGAGGGGTCAGATTTCAAGAATATTTAGTGTTAAGGTGTGGGGCGTGGCCCTTTCCTCTGTGGTGATAGTAGTGATGTCATCCTGGGGGTCTGCATGCGCTGTGGGGAGGCTATCTGACTCCCTCGGTACTGGACCTTGGTGTAGCAGTACTCATGCTATCCAGGTTCGTTAGGTTCAATATTTTTTAGTCTGGATGTCGCTGTATTCATTCTTTTATCAATCGTTCATATATTTTCTGTTGTAAAGTAATGACAACAAAACAATGAAATCATCAATATGCATTTAAAGTAGCTTTTAATATTTATTTTATGAGTTTATGTTAAAAGGCACATTATTTCTTACACATTTATATATTGAGGAACAATTTTAATGTATGACAATAATATTGTAAAGTGAAGTTTTAAGGATCTTTAAGTTATATTGTATTAATATGTAAAAATAATTCCATAATTTATACTTTTATTAGTTAATGCAAAAATATTTTTAATGTTCATAATCCTGTTCATTTATATTGTTTTAGACATATATGATTGATGTAAAGCGCCTTTGAACATTTTAATGAAAAGGGCGCTATATAAATGTGGTATTTATTATTATTATTATTATATCATAATTAAAATATGTTAGAATTAAAATAAGAAGAAATATCTGAGGATGAAATGTGAAATATTATAAGTACATGTAGTTATTTATTAAAATTGTCAATAAATAAGTGATTTGATATTTGCCCTGTTATTTGTCCTCGGGTCAGTCGTATTGGCCCAAGGCCTTCGGCCTTCGGCCAATACGACAACCCTCGGACTAATAACAGGGCCAAGATCAAGTCACTTATTTATTGACATATAAAATGATAAGCATAAAAAAAAAGTTTGCATGTTTACAAGAATGAATTACTATGATCAGTTACAAGAAAATAATATGTATAACAAAAGGTTTATACCAGCAATTACGCAATGTCTATATTAAAATTCATTATCACATAAACCGCAGCGCAGAAGTGTAATACAACCATTTAATGAAAAAATATCACACTTTTGTAATTACACCTTGACGTGCCGTCATTTGCACTGTATATAAATAGTGTTAAAGTGCGCTAATGTTAATGTTACTTTATATGCGCGTCAATGAAAAATGACTCTTTTCAATATCTTATGCATGTGACAAATAGAATATAGTTTCAATACTAAATTTATTGAACTCGTTGAATAAAACAGGCTCGCAAAATATGATTTTATTCAACTATTTCAATAAGTTTAATGTTATCAAAATCTTACCCTGACTGCCGGTAAAGACAGGAATATGTAGGTCGAGGGAAACTTTTTACGGCAGTAACGAGGCTATGCCGTTTTTTTCTCAGAACTAGATATTCCGACAGCCGGTGTTTGATTCTTTTTCTTGCATAAAACATATCAATTATTTTTAGGACTGAAATTACGAAAACTTATATTCTCATTATGCACTTCGAAACATAGAAATGACGTCATCCTAAGAACGAAACTCATTGAGCAAGGCATTGACATCATTTAAAGCACTCTACTTCTCTTACATAGGGGAGTGTAAGACAGGTGTTTTCTAGCATCGTTGTATACGGTAGATAATCTGATATGCAAGAAATAATCAACACTCGTTCAATATCCTCTATTAATGAGACATAAATTGTACATTCTCAAGATAAAAACATATTTAAAACAATTATCATGATTATCATATTCACATAATACGGAATTAGATAAAATATTCAGAGTCAAATTTCATCATATTATTCTTTAGTCATAATTATAAGAAAAGTGTCATATTAAAGACGAACTGGCGGATACTCTCTTCAATAAGTATTACTCTGTCAACTGTTTAATATTAAAAAAAACTATTAAAATTCTGGAATTCGTCGATATGAAATATTTTAGTTTGTTTGTTTTGTTATACGGCGTACAGGTCAACACAATTTAGTCATTTTGCGGAAAAACAGAAACTGATAATTTTTGCTATCCTCGGATGTTAGAAACTTCAATGCAGCGCCAAGGGTCAAAACCACATTGCATGCTGAATAAAAAAACTCCAGTAATTCGAAACCATTTTGTCGCTCACTGTACCTGTATCTCAGCGTAGACCAAATGTGATTTCGGCCAATTGCTATGACAAGAAGTCTTATTATTCTGCCAACACTCCATTTTGCGTCAAAGGTGTTGACTATTTGTATTTTAATCGTCTTACTAACCAAATAAATTTAGATTATTTCAATATGGTAAAATGGGGAATAAAAGTGTCGGGTTAATAAAAGTATCAAACGATTTTTTTGTTAAACTATAAATTGTTCTAATTTGTTTACAATTTTTTATACTTTTTTCTCTTTTTTGTTCAAGTTATTTAAGAGAAATCAAACTTAAATGGTTCTGACGGGTAAGTTGTCAGCCATTGTCGAACGCTTTCAATTAAAATGAGGAATAAAAGTGTCGGGTCAATTAATGTTGTTTTGTTGTATGAAAGATATTTAACTATTGCTGACATTTGTTTTTCATTTATCATATTTTACCAACAATCGGATATTAGATATGTCTCAATTATAAATCTATTTCAGAGATCAACAGAACCTTTTTGGCAGGTTGAAATATTTCAAATGAAAGGCATCGAATGATAATTTTAAGTCAAACAGTCAAACTATACTTTTTTCTCTTTTTTGTTCAAGTTATTTAAGAGAAATCAAACTTAAATGTTTCCGATAGATAAGTTAACAGTCATTGTTTCATGCTTTCTTTCATATAAACCACTATAAATAACTGATTTTAAGAAACGTTTATAATTACCTATGTCTTGATTCCCTGCATGCTGTACATAAAAACGTGTCATGGTCAGGACAATAGAGAGTACATTGCGTATTTTGATGCTCGGCACAAGTCAAAGTTCTGGTTACGTCAGTGAAGTCTGGAGACAGTAGATGTACGCTTTCAAATATCTGTACATGTTTTTGTGTTTACCGAATAAAAAATATAAACCTATAAAAGTTTTCAATAATCCCTGCATATCTTAACGATATTGAGCAAAAAATTTTTTTTTTAGTTAATTTTGATTTAGTCATTTAATACGTATAATATGCACTGATTACAAAAATACCGACAACAATGTTAAATATAAAATATATCATATATCATTATTATTCATATTCAACTTACGAAGCCGTTGTTTTGCTTTCTCTATGCCATTTGATGAGCAATTGGCAATTATGTCATGCGATTCAATGTCATATTGCACTTGTAGCCATCGTCGTAGGCCAAACAGTTCTTGTTGAAATTCGTTACTGGTGATAAACTTAAGAAAATCTTCCATGGCATTTGAACTGGGGCAGTTGATTTTAATGTCTGTTGACGTCTGGTCAGTGGTAGAAATATCAATGATACGACATTCCGTTATGGCCTTGATGAAATCTACGAGGTGATAGATTGGTGTATCAGTTGATCTTTCATCAAAAGGCGAACCAGTCATATCATCGTTATCTTTAATATAGTCTCTCATTACTTCATAAACTCGTTGATTGCCTTCAGCACTTTTATCACCATTTTTAGCAAAAACATTTATATGTAAATCAAGCAAGAAGTGCTCTGAAAAAAAATAATAGAGAATTAATGCACGGTTTACGTGCATCAAAATATGAAGATGTTAATGCACGCTCAAATTGCATGTGTATTAGCGCTATTCTCAAATAAGTTACATTTGCTCCGTAATTATTTTTATATTTTTTCATATAAATGTAACACAGGTTTCGTCATGCTTTCCCTTTCATATCCGTTACACATGGCGCCCTGAGTCATGCATATTTTAAAAAAAAGAAATCTATGCTTGCGTAATTATACAGGTAAAAGCATGTTTCCGTCTCCTTTAATGTACACCTACGTGCGCAGTATTTATACAAAAATAACAAGAAAAAGTTAGAGAACTTGTATTTTGACCATGAATTATTGATAAATTTCAAATATAGCTTCTTCAACTCCCTTTGAAAAAACAGTTACATTCTCATTTTAGTCCTTAAAAGTTCAATGTATAAAATAACAATTGTGTTCTGAATCTGTTTCCCATTTGTCTCCTTTTCAATGTTAACACACTTTTATTGATAAGAGTTGTGGACTCACAGATTTTTAAGTATTTTGTTTTCATTAAGTACCTTTAAGATTCTTTTCTTTTCCCGCATATCTTAGATTTAGCATAAGCCGAAGCTCATTTTCTTTATCTGTAAATAAAAACACAACTCAAACACTTGCGAACATTTATGTTAATACTATTCAATAATGCAAAACATAGTATATGTGTGTCTTGTTTCTTGGGAAATTACTTATTAAGACAAAATATTTTGAAAGATATTTTCCACAGACCAACACTTGTGTGTTTGTAACTTTAAAACAACAACACTTTTTCTGTTCATAGTTACAAGCCCACTTGAAAAGTAAAAGTCTGCGAACTCTGGAATATTTTCTATTATGAATATAATAACTTTAAATTTACATTGATTATTCTTTTACAAGCAATACTTTTTTTTAGAAATCTGATGTTTTTTTAATTGTTGTTTTAGAGCAATAAAGCCGTTTTTCTTAATGAAATGTTTCTTGGATGAACTCATTTATGTAAACTTTTCATAATGTCAAATCCTCAAACACCTATTTTCTGAAATATGTCTTTTCAAGCATCACTTTTATTTCAAAATCTGATTCTCTTTGTAGCTTCATTTTTTAAAAATTTTCTTCCATTCATTTATTACGAGAATATAAGTATAACATGTGTTAAAAACTTAATGTCAATTATGCATATTGTTGCTGTTTTGTCAAATCCAACGTTACATGCTTAAAATGAACCAATTTATAATTTTGTGCAATTTAACAGGATAAATTCTTTTCAAAAGGATACAGGATTTTTTAACTACACTGTTACATGTATCTCGAAAATACTTAGTTTTGAATTCAAATCATGGTCTAATGACCTAGTAAAATTGTCGTATAAGGATAAGCTCTATTTGTTTAAATTAAAATGCAAGAACAAACCTTTTATATGTTGCTCTATCATTTGAAGTTTCAATTCATGCTGAAGAAATAAAAGCTTAAAATGTTACATTGTATATATTATTTGAACAAGTACTTATTGTGCATAAACCTGACGAAGAGGGAACTAAATTTTAATCATATTTATCTCACACCCGTGCCGATTTTGCCACTCCGTTAAAATGTTATTGCACGGCCTTGCATATTTTTTTACGTAACGTTATTAGCGTTAATCAAATATAGTGTAAAGTCGCGCGAAATATAAGCGTTATACTATAGGCGTGTCAATAAAAAATGATTTTTTTTTCACCTTAAACGGTCTTTATTTGGTTATGTGATAAATAGAATATTAAATTCGTGTAAAACCAAGGTCATTACTAAATTTATTGAACTCGTTGAATAAAATAATATCATCGCGCCAGAGGCTCGCATAATATAGTTTTTCAAATCGTCAATAAATTCAGTATTGTAACGGCCGGCGGGTATCAGGTGAAAACACAAACGCAATAAATATTAAATATTTGATAAAAAAGTTCTCAGTTTATTCAAAATCTATCTTGCGTTAATACTTTATACACACAATAATAACGTTAAGCTTTCGTCTCTTATAAAGCAGTACTGTACATTACTCAGTAAATTTTAAAGATAAGAATATACAGAATGTTTATCAACAATAGATATATAGTTAAGTAATCATTTGTGGACAACGTATTCGAAAAGTTTACCAGGGACTTACAAGATTTTATGTTTGTATTTGCCGCTCAATAATGTTATTTAACATGTCTGAAAGCAGACCATCTTGAATCCAGCCAATATATACTAGGCTTTTTAAATGTGTTCCTAGTGACCAATCAGATGTGTACCGGTTGCCGTTCTCCAATGAAATTGAAGAACGATGACTGGCAGGAATTCCATAACAGCTTTCCCTTAAACGGACGTTCAGTCAAACTTTATTACAATTTATGATTTACATAAACAATATGATTAGTGCTTATACATATAGTGTGATAGATTATGTCGCAACCAATGCTTTGATATATAATACTTCCAAAACTATAAAGTGCTTCTATTATTGTTTGATTTTATTAACCTGTCAATTCTATACTGATTATACGGTCAATGCACAGAATATATTAATATTCGATAATTGTTCGGTAAATTCCGTGAGATTTAAGCAGTAAGGTATGATTTAATTCATCTGGTTTCAATGCATTAGTTACACTGACCGTTATAGCGCAATAGGGTAAACTACGGGTATATAATTTCTAAATGTCCTAAATGTTTTAAGATCGAGACAGTGTATGTCCAGACATTTCTTTCTTATTCATAACTATTTTCAATATATGTTTGAAGTAAAGGTTGTTCTTTCTGGTTAATTGGGTTTTGCACGTTTTTGTTTACACTATATTTTTGTATAAAACATAATGATTGTTAAATAATAATATTCAAAATTCATTCAGATTAAGATCAATAAATGTCATTTCAGTGCCGTAAAATACAATACAAAACGTGACAATTCAGTGTTTCTTAGTTGTTTCATATCTGTGTAGAAAATTCTGAATGCGCTTTACCATTTTCATTATAATATACTTAAAAATAAAGAAAATAAGTCTAAAAATAAGTGACGTCTATTGAAATGTCAAAAGAAGGGATCGAACCTCGGACCTCTCATACATTAGGTAATCACTTAACCGACTTTGCTATTGCGGATGTTACGAAAACTTCATTTAGCTATGGGGAATTTTCCAAACGTTAGCTGTATACTCCATATTAATTGTCGTAAAATTAACGGACACAACCGAAGTAGTATCGAATATTTAAATGAGTGCTATAATGTATTCATAATTGACAGGTCAATAAAATCAGACTATACAATCACGGAAAAACTATTCGAAGTGTAGCGGTTTGCAGACGCTTGGATTGAACGGTAACAATTCTCACTGTGTTTGAATGAAATAGTATTAAAATCACAATTATATATGCTATTTACTAAAATCTTATCCTAGCTAGATAAGTTTGAAAACATATTGGTTCTTAGATAGGTCCCTAAAACCTTATCCTAGTAGATATCACAAAATCGTTATTATTTTTACGACAGTTAACAACAATAACAACCAATATGGCTGCATCCATGAAATTTACAGTATGTGTTGAACAAAATAATAAAAGTAAAAAGATAAGCAGTGCTTCATGTTGAATGAAAGGACATTCTAGGTAGATAAATATCCAAAATTACTTACTGAATTGATAATATATGAGTTTTTAACAACAAATCAACGAAATAAACAAGTTAATGAGACAAAAACTTTCATGTACAAACTATGGCAGTTTTTGATTTCTTTACAGTACTGTATTGAACTTACACTCATTCAATATCCTCTATTTATTTTGGTAATATCAATTAACTTCCTTATTATCTAAGACCCAATATAATACTAACGGAACACTGGAAAGGTTCGGATACCATCGTCTAAATACTACATTTGATTACCTAATATAGAAGTCAGAAGGTACGAACATTTAATGACCACAAAGTATATTTGCATCATAACACTGTGATGACATTGTAAAATTTTATTCTTTTCCATTACTCACAAATGTATTGTTCGCCTCAGTGTATTCTTTAAGTTAAAGAAATTTTAAATGAGGCTATATCTTCAAGCGTGCGTAATGGTTAACAGAGAGACATATAAAAATGACAGAAAAAAAGGCATCAGTTCTAACATATCTTTCTCAGTAATGATTCGTATACAATAAATAGACTAGCAACTTTAGAACAGCAGTCTTTTTCAAAGACCTTTTGAACTTTTATTCATATTATGAGACTTGAAAATCAATATTGCCTTACTTTATCGGTCATAAAAGCATGTTCCAACAATACTCAAATGCATTAGCTATAAAACTTGCCTGTTTTTGTGCTGTTTTGTATTTTTCTTCTAATTTAGACATCCCATGCTCTCTCAGCTCTCTCATTTCATGTTCCAGGTTTATCTCAATCTGATTTTGTTGCACCTGTATGAAATTTATGATATGACTCAGGTCCGTAAACTCATTTAAAGAAATTCCCTTTTTCATGCAATAAAAAAAATGTCAGAATGCATATAAGGCCCATTTCTATAAGAATGGAAGGGCCTTTAGTATCATTTAAAATCAAAGGAAGTACTACAAGGGAAGGTATAAATGAACTTAAGATTTACCAGGTTAAATTATTTTTTAATAAACTTCCAAATTGTTGACATGTCACAAACTATGGGTTTTTTTCACCCTGTATTGTTGCAATAATGTTAATACTCAAATAATTGACAGAGTATAAGTGTGAAAAGCCTAGAAGTAACGAACTCACGTTTACAAGAGGATATATAGTGATTCATTACAGTGTTAGAACAAATAAAGGGATTGTACTTACTTTCATAGACAATACATGTGTTTCAACACTTATGAAATGCAAAAGGATCTGAACGTATTATTACAAAATAACATTTATAACAAAGAGTTAAGATTTTAGAAATTGCTAAATTATATTTTGCAACAAATATTACAAAATTGATAATTATATTGTTTATTGATAAATTTAGAAAGAAATACGATTAATACATAATACACCAATAATATGTATCAGTCTTTATAATTGCTACATTACTCTTATAGGATAATTACCATTTGCAGTAAATTTAATGCGTGTGCAACGCCTGGTTCCCCTTTCAGTGGTGTATTTCCATGTTTGTCCTTGATTTCTAGTACTTCTTTGAACATTTTGATAAACGTGTGCAGTTGATTTTCAGATAGCTCATAGTTTGGGCTGTGAAGGATATCATTCCGTGCTTCCCTTGCCTGTAAAATGTAACACTTCAGTATCTAAAAACTGATTGTTTAATGTGTCGCTAAAACACTTCACTTATAAATTAAGCAACTTAAAGCCAATCCGAAAAGGCTGTTCAAGACTTGCACAATAAAGGCTAAATATCATATATTTACAAGAATTAAAATAACATACATCTATAGGTGATAATTGTGGTGAAGATTTATACCTGTGCAAATGCATCTATTTTCCCATCGATGGTAACTTCTCCAAGCATCATTTCTATATCAATGTTGTTTATACACATACTAAGCAAACCAGAGCAGTCAATCTCTTTAGCTGATTGTTTGCCTTTGTAGCCAGTAGTATTTATAAAACATGTGGCAACACTCCACGGATCACTGCTCCATTTCTTGATATCTGTGTTTGCGAATAATGGATCTTGAAAGCGATGATTACAAACTATTCTATTATAAACGTAACCACAAAATCCCCCATTTGGACACATTTGTCTTGACAGGTTTTTTTGACTTTTGGTACATAAACATTGATATTTTCTTTGTCGTGGGCATTGATCTTGTTTATGTGGGAGAAGACTTTCCTCTGTACAAGTGTTGCATGCGTTGCTAAGTGTTTTCATTAGATCATTATGTTGTTTGGTTACAGCCTTGTCGGAAAAACCCTCTAAACCAATTTTCAAATATTTCAACGCGAGAGCTCCTCTCATCCAATTTCTGTATAATTCTTGTGTTATCTGTTTTCTGTGATTCAGGTCTGTTTCCCCTAAAATTAATTATAAAATAAAATAAAGAAAATTGCACAAATGATTTTCTAGTATCTCGCAATTCAGCATGAAATTAATAACATTGTTTGCTTTAATTTAATTTACCAGCCTTGAACAAAACCAAATGAATACAATTACGAGTTACATTAAGGGACCTGATCGAGAATAATACCATCTAATAAAATTGGTCAGTATGACAAAAACGAAGATAAAATTCAAAAATATTACCTTGTATTTCAACTGTTGTTTTAGATGAGACATTCCCTAAGGTAACTGAATATTCACCCTCGTCGTGTAATGTTACATTCGTGATCATCAATTTATGTGTAATTCCCTTTGCTATTATAACTGTTCTATCAGATGATTGTAGGACTTTCCCTTTGTGTCGCCAAACAGGTTTACTCGTTAGCAGGTTCACCTTACATTCTATATCAATGTTTCCTTTTTCAATAACCTCAATCTTGACAGGCAAATCAACGATTATACGTAATGCTTCATCTGTTACAAAAGATTGGGATAATGATAAATGAACGAATCATACTTAATTTGTAATTCGATATTAAATCATATATTGTGATTATGTATGAAAAAGTACGTATTTGTACTGAAAATAAATCCTACATTAAAATGATTAATTGCATGAAGCAAAAGTTTTGTCGTTCGCAATGATGTACTAAAAAATCCAAAATAATGTTGTCATAACAAAATTTCCCTATTTAACAGGATCTTTTCAGTGAATGTACAAATAATATTTATGCCCCTTAGTTCTTGTAACCAATTTACAACTATTATTTGGTTATGGAATAGACTGTTACTAATATTCGCCCATGTTGCTATTATACTTTTACTTTTCACTTAATGTATTGTCATTTGGATTATTTCTATCCAAATTTACGATTTAATTACAAATTATGAATTTGTTAGACAATCAAACTTAAGTTAAAGCCTAATCTAACATTTTCGTTCTCTGGTTATAATTTTCATATACTAGGTTTGCTTACTAGATTGAAAGTTTTGAAAGTTATGAATAGCAAATGCCATGGTAAGGTATGATTATCTCCTTTTCTGTTTTTAAGCATTGAAATAAAACACAAGCATTGTTGCTATAATTCGATAGTTTGATTAAAGCATACCTATAACAGTAAGATCAGCTGAAGTTGAAATATGGCCACATTCACACGTATATTGACCTGTATCTTCCAATGATGTTCGGGAAATCGCTAACCAGTGATTGCCATTCTTGCTCATGACCATTAAATTGTTTGAAATTTCAACCGGCTTTTTATCTTTCTTCCACTCAATATTTTTATCCGTTGAAAAGTTGAGTTTACATGTCAAAATAGCTGAATCATTGATGTAGACATTTTTGTTCTGAAGTTCTTCAGTGAACATTTGGCCTGAAATATATTTTATTTTGTTTATAAGATTATAAGTCAGCTGTATCAAATTATTGTTTATTATTACCCCTCACTTTTTGGAAATGTTAATTTCCCATTAGTCACTGGGAGTTATTCGTACAGTCAATGCAAGTGAACTACGTAAATAAGAAGTTTGTACTGTTAAATAGGTAATAGTACTTTTTAAGAGTATGAAATCTGGTCACTTGGTTTATTTTCTAAAACAAAAATGGCAGCCATTCGTTTTTCTCTATTCAACATCCTATTTTTCGATTTTCACAACAAAGGGCCATTACCAGTTAACCTATTGAAAGACAGAAATTTCAGTTGTTTGCATCTTGAAAGTACTTCGCGTTTTAATTGTCGTTTGGTTGAATTATTGAATAGTAAGACATAAAAATTCGTTTTCTTAGGAAGTTATTGCATTGGATTTACTATGTGTCAAAATGGAACAAGCAGACGATTAAAGCTGCAATAAAAACGAATTTAATCAGTGAAACATGACAGATATGGTAGACAGATGTAGGATACATTCGAAATGAAAATGAAACACAGCTTATTGTATGTTTATGGCTGGTGGATATACTCAATCATCTTTCCCTTAAAGAATAAAAAATAACGTTTTAAGTCCTCTTACAACTTGTAAGGCAATGGCAGTTGAGTTATTGTTAATCTTGGTTCAATTTTGTTACAGGTAGATTTAGTTGAAGTTTTCTAATCATTGAAGTATTCGTTCGGGGTAATAAAATAAATAACAAATTTGTGAGAAACAGTAAAAATATCATCCCTCGTACAAATACTGTTACCAGAGGCGTTATACTGCTCGTGTCATTATCAAATTGAAGACGATCTCATATTTTATGATATACTTTGCATATAGCATATAATTGTATTGTATATCATTTGATTGACCATGTATTGTATCAGTTTGACTCATGTTGAATACAAATTTAGAATATACACACATGAATGCTCTCTTAATTTTATATTCGACCATGGCAATCTAAAACAATTATATGTCTATAGCTAAAGATTAACACTATTTGAAAACTTGCATACAAACATGTTCATGAAGTAATGTATTTGTATACAAGATAACCATATGAATCAAAATGAATTCATACTGTAACACAAATACTTACCATTGGTCTGGAGCTTTTGGTGGTTTTCTTCGCAATTGATATCATTCTCTGTTACGACATCTACATCAATTGCAATTTTAAGATGAGTTTTGATATCATTTGTCTGTGTTAGTTTAGCTATCTGTGTTTCGCTTAATTTCATTGATTTTGATTCAAATGAAAACAGCATGCGTTTACACTCAATTTTAGCTTGGTCGTCTATTAGCGTCATCAACTCGAGTAATTGATCGTGCAATAAATATTGTTTCTCCTTGTAGGTATTGAATGATAGGGAGGCACATTCGGTGTATTGTTCAATATCTTTCCTCTGATCATATATACATTGAATGGCTTTAAGTTCAGGTTCAGTTAGATCAGATTTAAACAAAACTAAAGTCATAGCACATAATTGAAGTGTGTCCCACGTATGAATGTCGTCATTGACATCATCCTCTTGAATTAATTGAAGAAACTCTGTTTCGTACTGGGTTGTAAACGCATCTCTATTCTCATTGAGCAAAATACCAATATGTTTTTCACATTTTTTCTCTTCTCTTTTAATTATGGCCTTCAATGCGATGGGTGAAGCTTGTTCCAGTAATAATATATGACATAGGTAGTGTTCATGTCCTCTAGTGACATCACAGTTCTTCTGTAACAGTAATTAGAATAGTTTTAGAGGTTTGCTTTCCTATGAATGAATTTCAAAATTCGGTTTGATATTTCATTTCGTGCATTTTGTCCGCTTGCTTTTGACTTAAAAATACCATGACTTTCCGTTTGGATAATTCAAAATCAGCAAACAAGCATATTGATAAGGTAAAAATAAGTAATAACAATTATCTTGCAACTATATATTATGCGTAATCTATAAAGGAATGTAAATACAAAAATTATGATAAATAATACCGATGGTTCCATCTCATTTGTTTAAATTCCCATTATTTGTCTGATCAAGATGATATGTTATTGCCTCTGAAGATAGAAACACCATTAATATTTTATTTCAATAATAATAATAACAACAATAAAAACTTTAAAATATATGTACAAACTTATCTTCATTAAATGCATTTATCACTTGCAAAAAATACAACCCAATGGAACAAATTTTGATAACACCCGAATTTGATCCGAAATGACGAAGTTCTTGGTAAAATACAAGTGTTGTTATACTTGAATATGTAGCAAAAAATATGTAAGGTTTTGAATATAAAAAAAAGAAAAAGATTGCAACATGTTTGGTGTTAAACAAAGTTAAACGCTAAAGCAAGTGTTATGGAAGAAAGAGGTGTTGTATATTTACTTTATCTTATGAGCATGCTTATTCAAACCGAGTCTTTAATTTTCAAGTAATATGTTTTCAATTTTTATCATTCACAACAAACAGGCGTCAAGTATCGTAAAACAGCTGTAAAATGTTCCTCGTTTAATACTTCAGAGATAATATATTTTCCAGTACTTCGGGAAAATTGAGACAAGTAGTCTAATAATAAAATTTGACTGCCGCTTGAAATCGTAAACTTCATCCCTTGAATTTCATAAAACAATTAATTCTTTGACTTGTTCGCATCACCGTTCATGCATGTCGACGAAAATAAAACATGAAATACGAACAGAAATTTCTATCTTGTCAACAATTATGAGTAGAAAGATCGCAATAGTAAAAAATAACGTGTTTAAAGAAATATGGTAAGTTCAAAAGAAGACAACTCATACAATACCGATACCAGGTGTATGGGCATGACTATATTGTCTCTTATACATAATTATATGTGAGTGATGACAACTAGAGACCATTAGTGACAATGAAACAAAGTTAATAACATGAAATAACTTCGAATTTAAATTCCAAGCTCAAAATGGAAATGATTCATAAAGGAAGATGAGTTTGAAATTCAAGGACAACCAAACTACTGTTAGGTCCTTAAAATAAACTGACAATAATTGTTGATATAGTTTTAGAAAATATTTTACTATACGAAAACATAAAAGTGTTAAATTCTTCTTTCAAATAAAACTATCCATGGGATGATGACACTCCATTGTAGTGCAACCTGGCCATCTTGACACCTTTTGTTTTATGAATAAAACTATGATAGATGATCAAAATATACCCGTATATAATGGTATCAGAAGTTCAAATTCAAGTTATAAAATATGATTTAATAGTATGTTGTAATTTTCCATCTTATCTGTTTATCAAACACATTTTAAATATGAAAGATAAATTTTATTCCAGATATTATCATGCGTTTTCAGCATTTGGCAACATAAGTCTGTTAGTCTGGCGGTCTTTGTGTACTTCTCCTTATAAACAGCTCAATCAATTGAAATAAAACATTGAAAATAATAATTGACATGGTGTCTACTTGTAAATATTTTTGCGATTTAACATTGATCCATAAGTGGCATTGACCTTTAAAGTAATTAAATCAAATTGTGCTTCAATATACTATAATTGGCTTTAAATTTGTTATAAATTGATATAGTGTATTCATGCTTAGACATAACAACCCTTTCAACAATCCATCTAAGAAGTTAATTTTCACTTGACCTTGATTTAACAGGACTTTGACCTTTAGGATCCAATAATAAAATTTGCGATAATATTTGACATCAGTGTGTTTTGTATGGATTGGTTTGATTTTTCCTTAAAAAGATTACACTATGCATAAAATGGCCTGAAATGCTGAGCTACCTTAGTTTTGAGCTTAACCTTTTAATGACTTTAACTTTAAGGTTGCTGAAAATGAAAATACTTTAGAAATCAATGGATGGATTTGATTGATACGTAAAAAATAACACTTAGCATTAGACTTAATGTAACTTAAGTCTGATCATGACGACCAAGAATGTCAATTTATTGAATATTTCTTAAGTTGGCTTTATTTGTAATTAATTTTGGATAGCACCTTTTAGTAGGTCAAACTAAACTTTACGTAGAACTCCACATGATTGCTATCCCTGCGGTTGTATTTATATTTTTCTTTATATATTAGCCATTGTTCCATTTTATGGAACGATTCAATTGGTACTTTGACAAATAAAATAACACACAATTATCATGTTTATCAATTCGGGTATGACATTGGCTGTTAAACACCCTATGTAGTACTTGCCAAAATAATGAATTTTGCTGAAATTGCTATAATTGTGTTGATAATAGACTGTTTTAATTTAAATTTAAATAAACTACCTCTAAGGAAAAATCATCAAGTGCAACTATTTAAAACTATCTTGATCGTTAATTGACATTGACATTTAAAGTCATAATAATGGACAAATCTGTTTGTAATTAATGAACCAGTCAGATTTATATTTTGACATACCAACCTGTTGTCAAAATCTTCAAGTGACATTACGACAGTAATACATTGACCTATAATTGTCCTTGACTCTCAAAGGAAATTATGAAATTTTTCTTGATTTCTTTAAAATTTAACATATAATTACATGTTAGACTTGATCATCATGCTATCTAAAATGAATTTTATTTCAAACTTAAATGATCTTTCTGGCATCTTTATACTTACCAAATTTCTACAGTTTTTGATATTCAATGGTTTATTATTGGACAAGACCAAACTTTCACATTTTGGTTATTCACAAAATGACCAAAATCACCTTGACCATTGACAAACTTTCATTTATAATTGACTCTATCAGTGTGTTAATATTCAAATAATAAGAATATATCAACTGTTGCCCCTGTTTGAAGTTGTTCTTGATTTTCAATAAATAATATTCTTTTTGCGGGGTAGTTATCACATTAAGTGATAGTAATAATTAGGGAAACTGATTCTAAATCATTTGAATGGTTGACAGAAGTACTTGATCTATCAGAAGTAGGACATCGTAGCTGCACAACGTGAAAAATGGAACATATTCTGGATCACCAATTCATGGCCTGTAATATGGATTTGTATTTTGAAACTATTACGAATTTATTAAACACCCTCATTGAATATGACTGCTTGTATATTCACAAAGAAAAATGAAAAGTAATAATTTCTCGAGTTTAATAGTGCAATGTTTGTTTGTTTGTTTTTTTACGCGTTTTCCCAACATTATTTCAGTCATATAGGCGGGTTGTTTCTTATTCATCGTTCCTAGAGAGTTACACCAGTACTAGACTACCTTCCTCCGTGCTTAACTACCAAAAGATATCCCGGGGATCGAACCCACGCCAGAGAGGTAACTGGATTCAAAGTCATCGACTATAACCCCTCGACCACGGAGGCGGTCTCAATAGTGCAATGTACGAATTAAACTTTAATGCATGTTCAGATTTGTAACAGTTAGTTGAAAAACTAGGTATTTATTCGTGGTAATGAAACACATAGGTTTGTGAGAAACAGTTAAGATATCATCCCTCATAAAATTCTGAAACCAACAGCAATTCCCCGGGATGATTTATTGTTTTATTGTTACAAACTTTTGTGTCATTTTTACAACCGACTCTGAAATTTAACAACATTGTCTTGGATATAAAGTGTACATGATTATCAGTCAAATTCTCCTGTTGAAGGAGCTATTAAATTGTTGAAGCAAATAACCTATAAAAGTCAGTGAAATATAACTGTCAAATCAGCTCAAATAAGGTCATAAAATATTGTATCTTTGATTGAAACATTTGTTATTTATATAATTGCTATACTAAAGTTTGCTACATATTTTTTTATTCACAGTGGCGTTTTCCGTGATGTTTTCGATACAGGGCAGTGTACTGTGTTTGTTTGGGTTATTTTTTGTTGTTTTTTTTTCTTCGCATCTCAAACACAGTTCAGAAAGACTGCAGTTTATTCATCGCCTGTAAAGTTCATGTCAATTCTAACTTACCAACAACAAACATGTATTTTGTATGAATACTTTCCCTGGAATAAAACAGTTTAAATGAAATTAAAGAAGAAAAGATCATGTACCTCCGAAGTTGTAACTAATATTGTTTATTGTTATGAACTTTTGTTTAATTTTTAGAGTGTGTGTTAATTGCATAATTCATTGGCCTTAACCACCAAACAATGCATATAACCACAGAAAACGTTCAAAAACAATTTCACTAACTAAACAGTATTTTTTTCTTATTAAAGGATTAAGCTTTTTATTTCGTATACATATGAATCAGGCGAAGTACTATTTATTTCAATCACAATGTTTCGATGTGTTATGGCAGGCCTAAGTCTCAATAGCAGGAACTCGTTTTATATAGACCTTCACCCCTACATACCTAGCTATGTAAGTGGGTTTTACTTTTTATATATAGAATTTTAGCTGTTAAATATCTTGTGATGTGTACTGAGCAAATATTTAACAATGCATTTTCGTCAAAGGCACGCCAGATAAACGCTTAGTTCTAAATATTCGTAACATTCTCCTCTTTGAACAGCAAAGTGATTTTAAAATTCTCAACAAAACATACATAGTCTTATTAATTCCTTTGACAGGTTTAAAAGGTAGGAAGATTAAAAAGCTAACATAGCTCGTATGTTATAGGAGGCGACGGACCATTTCAAAAAGTGAAACAAGAAATATGAGATTGACATAAGACATGCCATGCCATTCGTTTGCCATTCTACTCAATCATATGCATTGCTAAACTTTAAGTTAGAATAAAAGATTTGAGTGATATAGACATAGAGTGATATTTTATATAATACATACTTATGATTAAATGAATGTGTTGCCAATGTATTTTCTTGTTTGTTTTACATTTGCAATGTTTGCTGGAGCAATCAAAGTATCATGGCAGATATTTACTAACTTTAAACACATTTATTTGGTTATATCTTGGTTTTATTTCCACCGATCTAGCTTTCATGAACATAAGTAGTTCTGATTTTCTCCCAAAATGATTGTCTATTCATCCAACATTATTTATGAGCCTGCGGTAGGAAACAATAATGGGGATTATGAGGGTCATTTAAAAGGTTCTGTTACTGGGTCAAAATTTAACAACTGCTACGTTTTACTAG